CATAGATTCAAGGTTATTAGGGTTGCATGTACACTTAGGAAGTGTTAGAATGCTCAAAACCCATCATTTGCCTGGTAATTTGTGTTTGGTTATAAAATTACACAAATTACCATTTTACCCCTGCAAGATATGCTTATATTTACATACTAATTGGATGTGATACTTTGTGTAGGGTTGGAAGGAACTGGAACTGGCCTTGTTGTACATGAGAAAGCTCTTGGAAAGTGAGTTGAATTTGATCTTCATCTTGTCTTTGAACATTCTTTCTTATAAAATTTTGTTTTATAGAATCTGTAATAGGAGTATGTAAATGTTTGCTTAAAATTTTGGTGTCTTGGGACTTCCTGCGGATCATATTCAACATTTCAGCTTGTTACTAGGTAATTAATTAACTGTCTCTATCTACATGCTCTTTCACTTCACCATTGTATCTATTTTTCTTTAGTAAAAAAAATATTAGGTAAAATCATGGTGTGTTGTTATGAAACAAATAGGCAGTACAGACATACGGATGAAAGTGGAAATCCCTCAAGATACAAAGCTTGTGGAGCCGCTACATGAAGCTTGTATATGGCGCCAAACAAGAGGCACCGCCACTGAAACTTTAGGAGCCGAGAACAAAGCTGAATCCACAGAGAAGTTTCAATTACAATTTACAAATCTGCCTTTCTGTTTTCTTAAATATTTTATTAATCCAATGTTATCATATCTGTGAAACTTAACAACAGTTGTTGGTCTTCCTCTTGGTGATCCATCAATGAAGTGGCCAACTTGCATCATGTAATAACATTTTAGGCGAAGATGTAGGTATATGTTTTTTTAATGAATAATATAATCATATGTATGAATATGAAATAAAGTTTGTTATTTAGTATATGATAATCATGTATAGGGAGAAAACTTCTATTGATTTGTTTTATCTTTCCATGGATCGATTATTTGTATGACATTAAATTTTATGCAATAGATTGTATTTTTTGTATATGGTATTTTATTTTTTGTTATGAGACATTAAATGCAAAATTAATTTGAAAATTAGTAAATTTGAATAATATTTTTTTTAAACATTTAAAATTACGATACGCAAAAAGGTGTGTCATCTTCATTTATGACATGGCCTTTCTTGACAGGGGCTTCCTTGATACGCATTGTGTGTCATAAACACGCGC